ACAGAAATTTTGGGCTCAATTTTGTCATAAGTCAAGAACTACCTATAGTTATTTAGGAAGGCCTCTATCAAGTCTCAGGACGGTTGGCCTTGACAGAATATAAAGAACTCCACTCAGCAGCGCCATAATTCATGAATACAAACCTCCCTTCCAGTTCTCACGGGACTGCTACATACCAGCTTGCTTCCCTATCCCAAATGCCCAAGCCCCCCTCCTCGCTTCTATGGCAGCTGATAGCAAGCATGCTGCAGAAACCCATGCTGGAGATCCAGCTGACAATCACAAAAGGTGATCATATGATCTTGGGACACTGCAACAGTCATAAATGTGAGTCAGTTGCCTAGCCTTTGAATTTTGATCATGTAACCTTGGGAATGCTGCAGGGTCGTAAGTATAAAAATGGTCTTAAGTCACTTTTTTTAGAGCTATTGTAACTTTGAGTGGTCACTAAACAAATCATTGTAAGTTGAGGACTACCTGTATTTGACCCTAATCTAAATGTTGTAAATATGTGGTATATATTTTTTCTCTTAAAAAACTAGCTTGCTTAGACCAGGGATATTAAAAAAAAAACCTGAAAAATAGACAGTAAAATTTAGCTACTATGGTTTAAATGTTTTGTTTTGTTAAATTGCTGCTCATTTTCTTGAATGCCAAATGTATAAAAACAGGATAGAAATGACATTAATTTTTTTTTAAATATGGTTCTATATTCTCTGGGATGTTCTTACTTTAACCAATTAAAAGGACAAAATAATTTTTAACTGATTATGATAGTTTTTTTTTTTTTCCAGTATGATATCAGGCAGAAGGCGCTGAAACTTACAGCTAATAGTATGTATGGATGCCTGGGATTTTCCTACAGTAGATTTTATGCAAAACCCCTTGCTGCTTTGGTGACTTTCAAAGGTAGAGAGGTAAGTCAGCAATAATAAGTACTGTTGATTATTTTGTGGGTGGTGGTGTATAGGATGGTAAATTTATTCGTTTCTCTCTCTTTTTTTCCCTTTGGTTATTAGGGTTGCCCATTCACCATCCATACTTTGGCCACCATTAAAAATTAATAAACTATGATAAAAGAAAAATAAATAAAATAACACGAGTTCACATAAACATATTGGTCTAGTACTTTCAGGAAGAATGAAATCTTCAAGGCCTTCCTAAAGGTTGGCAGGGTTGTAGAACTGTGAGCAATAAAACTGATGTCAGGCCTCCAAATATTAAGTAATATCGATTTGAAAATGTTTTTTTATCAATTCAGTTAATTTGAATTAATTTTAAAATTCTGTAAATTAAGAAATAGGCAAAATTTGTTGCAGAATTTGTTGTTCCTGAGAATATGTGACACAAATATAAATTGCTACTTGTTTTATATTAAGACTAGCAAAAATATTGCTGTTAAGTTTAAGAATGGGTTTGATCAGTGAAATTCTGAATGACAAAGGAAGTATTTCACTAGCATGCTATATAATTAATAAATGACATTTGCTGTTAACTGACATGGCAGACCATTAGCCTAGATATATTAGGACTAGAGCAAAGATTGTGGTTTAGAAGAACAGCTTTAAAAATTTCTATAGTCATGGCATCTTCAGACTGTCACATGATTAAGTAGGTATTAATCCTCCCAGAAAAGAATATGGAGTTCTGACTCCCTATGGACTTACGTTTTGTTTGTTTGTTTGACTAGAAAAGTGGGTTAGGAGAAGGTTTAGCTTTGTTCATTCAATGTGATAGCTTTGTCTTCAATCAACTTGTTTTTATGTAATTAAAATAAACAGGAAGTTCAAAGATGGTTGGGATGCTGGGGAGGAGAGGAGCAATAAATAAATCATTATTGGAACAAACTTTTCATTAAAAAAATTAAGAGACACAATTTTGACACAGGATTTAACTAAAGGAGAAAGTAGTATCAGAACATTTCAGTCTTCCAGAAATATTCTGTGGCAGACTCAAAGTAACTTCTTTAGAAAAAGGGACTTTTAACTATTCAGTGATCTCTTCCATCAGAACATATGGTGTGATATATATTTTTATAGGGGCAGCAGATAAATTTCTTTTCTGAATACAAAATGCTAAGTCAAGCACTGTCTTACTTAAGAGTAACAGCTGTACTCTAAAAAACAACTGATAATTCCTTGTTTGTAATATTTATAGTAGATCTGATTAACACTAGTCATATTTTAGTTCAAGATTTTCAGACCAAAATGGAAACTTTTTTGAATTCATATTTTGGAGCATTTAACTGATTTGATTTCTGTGCATTGAATTTATTTCTAACCATGGCACATCACTTGGTTCTGTTAAGAATGCTAAGTAAGTATTTTCATAAATGACATTTTAGCCATAGAAAGTAGGTATAAGATGAAAACCTTATTTCTCAGATTGAGCCTGACTAAGTTAAAGAGTGTTCATAAATGTATTATTAGTAAGGATGGAACCTGTGTGGATATTTGTAAGGAGGTATCAGTTCAACCTTGACTTGCTTTAGAAAGCATATGTAAACTATAACTGACATAATTTTGTAGAAAATTATAGCTCAACACACCTAGTGAAACTAGCTTATTTAAATGTTTAATTATTAATTAATTAAAATTATTATATAATATTATATTATTGCCACTAGGAATTTTTTCTGAGCTTAATGCTGAGTTTCTTCTGTTTTTTGAAGTGTTTCCTGCTGTAAAAATAAAATAACAATAGGTTTTTGTTTCAGCCCTGGTTGGTAATAATTTGATAATATATATCAAATCATAAATAGTCAATGTATATTGTATATATTGTTTTAACAAAAAGTCTCAAATTGGTAATTTGATAGTAGTATAATTATTAGTAGAGATTCTGGTAAGAGCAAAGGGGGAGATTTAAGCCTTTATGTGAACAAAAGCTGGTGTATCAATACAAAGATTGTAGACAGCCACTGCTCCATGGATCTGGAGTATATGACTCTTCAATGTAGACCCATATATCTTTCACGGGAATTCAGCATGGTTTTGATTACTGCAGTCTATATCCCAACTGATGCCAATACTACCATAGCTTTGGGATTCTTATATAACATTGTTAATAATCAGCAGAATAAGTATCCTGATACTGAGCATATCATAGCAGGGGACTTTAATAAAACTGATTTAAAAACAGTGCTCCCTAAATTCTATCAGCATGTTAAGTGTGTTACTAGAGGAGCAAACACATTGGACAAAGCATGGTTATAAGGTCATACAATTACCACATTTGGAACAATCAGACCATGTCACTGCTTTTAGCACCAGCATACATCCCTCTTAGGAGACAGGCTCTGCCTATAATAAAGACAGTGAAATCTTGGCCAGAAGATGCTTCCCAACAACTTCAGGATTGTTTTGAGAACACAAATTGGGACATCTTTTACTACCCTGACCTAGAAGAGCACACTGCAGCTATTCTGTGCTATATCAAACACTGCACAGATACTATCACTGTGGATAAATGTATTAGGATCTATCCCAATCAGAAACCCTGGATGACCAAGGAAGTTCAGCACCTTTGCGTGACAGGACCAAGGCTTTTAGGTCCGATGATGGGGCAAGATGTAGTGTTGCCAGAGCTAGTCTGAAGAAAGATATTCGGAAGGCCAAGACTGATTATAAGAGGAAGATTGAGGATAATTTTTATAGCAATAACATGAGGCAGGCGTGGTGAGGGATTCAGCAAATAACCAACCATCCGACCAATGTCATCCCTGCTGAGGGGGATGCTTCATTGGCAGAGGAACTGAATCATTTCTTTGTTTGCTTTGAAGTGGAGACATCAGAGACAGCTAAAATACAGCCACCAGCCAATTGTAGCCTTCCCCCTAATTGTGGTGGAACAGGAGGTGAACATTTTGAGGGCTGTGAACCCTAGAAAGGCTGACAGTCCTGACGGTCTCTGGCAGAGTACTTAAAGACTGTGCTGATCAGTTGGCTGGAGTCTTTACCAGGATCTTTAATCGGTCTTTATCTCAGTCCACTATTCCATCTTGTTTGAAGGCTTCCACCATTGTTATGCTGCCAAAGAAGTTCCCTATCAATAACCTCAACGACTACAGACCACTGGCACTCATTCCTATAATCATGAAGTGCTTTGAGAAATTGGTCTGCTGGGTTCCGGTTTGAGTCTTTTCAGCGACAGACCGAAATCTGCGATCGTGCGCAGTATCGATCTGTGCTTGCCGCTGGAGCTCCCCGAGCTGGCTGGTTTCAGGGCTAAGCCACCCCGTAGAGGTGGTGAAGAGGGGAGAGACTGCCAGCAGGGTCGAGGAGAGTCGCATCTCTCCTCCCCAGCTGGCCATTACTCCCTTTCCCGAAGGTGGTTGCAGTGGTGGTCAGAAATGGCCACCTCAAAGAAGAACTCGACTGGAAAAGAATGTGCAGGAGGAAGATAAGAGAAAGTTTTTGGCTGACCGGGTCGAACTGAAAAAGCAACAATATAAGGTATCCTGGAATTTGAATTATAAAGAACAACATTGTTCCCAAAGAAGACTTTGAAGCGGCGAATGAGAGAGGGAAGGGAAAGGATTTGGTTTTTTTTTCTTTTCTTCCCTATATTGGCAACGAAGAGATTTAAGCAAGAAACCGGCAAAAATCCACTTTGACATTAACAGGTATTTAAGCTGAAAATAAAATGTCAAAGGGATAATAAAGATTTCTGAATTCTCAAAAACTTTTAAAAGAAGGAAAAAAACAAAAGGGTGGGATCTGGAAAAATGGAGGAGACCACCTGGAAGTGAAAGGAATTAACAGTGAAACTTTAACAAGATTCCTAAAAGATACATTTTAACTGAAACTTTGTAACAAGATAAGAGAACCCCAGGAAGAGAAAGTGGAAAAAAGAAGCAAGAAGAAACAGCTGTGGATTATTTGGATTACTTGGTGATTTTTGGATTTTTGGCTATTGGATCGAAAGGGTTAAAATTAATCGGGTGGTTGTTTAAAAGTTTTCAAAATGGTATCACTCTTGGAAGAATTGAGAATGGAACTTAAAAAACAGAAAGAAGATGCACAAGAAGGAAGAGGTTCTTTTGGCTTCGTATTTCAATTTTTAGAAATGGAGATCCTGAACTATGAGAAACAACAAGAAATGCCTGTAGAACAAGAAGGGCGGGACAAAGAAGAAGCCATCTTCAATAACCATGTATTTCTATGCGGGGAAAAGAAAGGAAAGGGGGGAAAGAGAATGAAAAATTTAAGATTTGAAAAAACAACCCCCCCCCCCCAAAAAAAAATAGTTTGAAAAATAATTACAACATTAGGAAGAAACAGAAGAGAGGATTACAGAAGAGAGAATCAGAATTAGAGAGAGAAGGGGTCAAAAAGGGAAGGGAGAAGAAGAGGGGGAAGAGGGAAAGGAAAAGAAATTACAAAGGACAGAAACAGGATGTAGAGAAGCAGGGAAAACGTACAAGGATTAAGGGTATAAGCCTATTTAGAAGACACAGAGATAATGGGTGAAAACTTAATTGAAAGGGGGATTCTGCAAGGGTACATAAGATAGTATTGTTATATTAGAAAAAGAGAAATTGGTCTGCTGGCACATCATTTCTGGTCTTCCGCATACATTTGATAAACACCAGTTTGCATATAGAAGAAATAGATCTACAGAGGACGCTTTCGCCATCACTCTTCACGCTGTTCTGACTCATCTAGAACAGTGGGGGGGGGGGGGTGTTATGTGAGGATGCTTTTTGTAGATTTTAGTTATGCATTTAACAAAATTCCTCTGCATAGACTAGTGTCTAAACTTCTGGATTTTGGACTTTCTTATTCAAGCTGCCTTTGGATTATTGATTTCCTGATTGGCCAATCACAGAGGGTCAGATTAGGTAATCATACTTCTTCAGCCCTTATTCTTAACACTGGTACACCACAGGGTTGCATGTTGAGTCCCTTACTCTATA